GCGCGGGCGGGGGGCGGCCGGGGCTGTCAGGGCTGCGTGCCCTGTTCCTGTGCGAGGTGAAACCACCCCCTCCTTCTCTCCCTCCCCATTATGTGTCTCGGGAGCTGCCTTGGGGGTGCGGATGGTGCCGCCGCCGTCCTGCCCCTCTCCCTTCGCGCCTTACCTGAGCGAGCCGGTGCCCGGGGGGCGAGGCACATCCGTGCCGAGGGGATGTCTGTGCGTCTCTGCTCCGCGGGGTTTGCTTTCCAGAGGGTGACCTGAGCCTTATTGTTCTGGGGATGGCAACTGGCACACGCTTTGTTGACAGCGGTGCCTGCGCTGGCGGTGCAGTGGGAGAGTGGTGCGGGCGTGTGTGGGTCTCGGCCCGCTGACTACAGGAGATGCTCTAACGTACAAGCGCGTGAGGTTTGCAAAGGATGGGCTGATGCACCTTGATTTGTCAGGGCTTGGACTGCCTGTGTCGGGATTATCAATGGAGAGGTTAGCTTTGTGTGCTCAGGGTCGAGGTCCGTATCCCAGGTGTGTGTGAACTTGAATATGTGTCGGGTCGGGGTGGGATCGTAGAGTCTATCATGGGAAAAGGACTGTGAGGTTTGGGGAGCTCATGTAGAAAGTGCTGTATTTTTATGTCCTTTTATTGGCTGACTTTTTGTAAACAAAAATAATTCTTTTCTGCTTCGAACATCTCATGTGGGTTCTAGTCTTCATCTTGGTACCCTGTTTCTAGAGCCGTTTCCTTCTTTTTGCCCCTCCTCGCGGGTGCTCTCTCTCTTTGTCCATTTGTGCAGATTAATCAAATATTTACTATGCTCTTGGTACTGTATGAAAAAGGGAAGAATCCAATTCCTGCCTGAGGCAGTTTACAGTCAAACTTGGATGGTGACAAGGCAGTACAGATACAGAATACATTTACATTCTAAGTGAGAAGTGATGTAGATAATGAAAGAAAGAAGTTTCAAAGGTTTTTTGGAAGAACTATACCATTGATATGATGAAGTGTGAAATAACGGCGATAGCTTTATGGGCATTTATAATTAAGCAGTTAAATGCAGTAACTGGAAGAAGGGGAGCTGTTAGAAAATACTTAATTTTTTGGATCTTATAATAACTGTTCTAGCAATTTGAGCTAGTCCAGCTATCGACTTCAGCACCGACTTGAAAAAATAACCTGAGGTCTGACACATTAGTGAAGATGATTCCAAAGAAAAATAAATCTGCAGCATAAAGCAGTTTTAATAATGTTTTATAAAGAAGACCCAAGTCATGTAGATATTTCAGATATTACTTCAGTTGCATTTTTAGGCTACTGTTCACCTGTTTTAAATGGCCTTCTGAAGTAAGTAGCAGTGTTTTCTGATTTGATACTGGTGGGGAAAAATACATCATCTAATATCTTTTGTGACTGTACATTCTCTGTGCCAGGTTCTCTGCTTCAGCAACATTAGCTAGATTTTAAGGACAATCTCTCAATTTCTTTCTACTAATGCAGGGTGTCTGGAGAATCTGCTTTTGTTACATCAGCTTCAGTGTGTGAGAAATGTGAAAATACCAGACTGTAATTGGAAATGAGCCTTTGTACCTAAAAGTGCAAAAATCTGTGTGCATATCAAATATTTATAGGGAATTCTTTCTGTTGAAAGATTTGTAAATATACTTTGCTATGAGTTGCCCTATTTAGAGCAAGAAGAGCTTACGTAGAAAGAGCTAGTAAAGAGATCCTTTGAGTACACACATCTAAACTGGATAGACTTTAATAAACAATATGTCTTTCATCCTTAATGTCATCTTTTATATATGAATGTCTAATTGAAGAGTAGCGTGTGGATGGTACATTTACGAGAGAGGAACACAAATATTTAAGGTGATTCCAAAACTGCACGTCATAATGGCCTACCTTTTATATGGTGCCATATAACATGCCTATACACAAGAAAGCATGTAGGTAATGTTTATGGCAATCTACTACTTTGGCCTAATGTTACAAAACTGTTTCTAAATGATTTACCTACCTGGTTAAATTCCCACAGCATAGAACAGCTGATTGTATAATGTGTTCTGTTGTGAGAACAGATGTCTTCCTGCAGGACTCAGAAATTGACTTTTTTCCTGGAAGAGAGAGTAGGGAAAAAAAACCTAACTTTTTTTTTAAATAATGCAATTTGTATTTAAAGCGCATTCAGAAATGTTGACTTGTTTGTTTACATATTGCTAGTTGTCTGCTACCCTCCCTGCTTCAGTAATATTCCACTGATCATGCAGATGTTTTGTGTCTTTAATTAATTTTCTAACTGTTAAATGTCCAGTTTTACATAGAGATTTTGCCAAAAGTTTCACAGTGACAGCGTTCCCCTCTACTGAAAGCTAAGGCTAGAGCATCACTAAGATTCTTACTGTAAGAGCACGGCTTCAAATGTTGAAGTCATTGATTCTCAACCAGGGTCCCTTGCTATCCCTACAGGGCTGCTGCAGGATTGATGTAATGTTAGCATTGTGAGATGTGCAAGTATGATTCATAACATAAACCCAATGATGAAATAAGAATCCATAGCATGAAAAAGAAATCTCACCTGTGGTACTTCTTGAGTTATTTGCAATAGAAAAATAGCTGTATTAATATTCCATAGTCACAACATGAATGAAAATGAAGAGCTGGCATTTTTGGAAGAGTGCCTTGAGCCTAACAAGGAGTTCCTTGAGGCTAAAAAGGTTGAGAACCACTGGTTTAAATAGATATACTGTGTTATATTTGCAGCTAATACAGCCATAACAATATATTGAAATTCCACAATCAAGAAAACTGAAGTATTTCAACCAAACTAAACTACAAGCCCTGGACAAAAAATATTATAAAATCAATGTGACTTGCATTCCAAAATTTTTACTTGGGTTCTTTGAGAGAGCCAGTATAGTGTTAGGTGCCTAAATATGGGCCTAGAAATATAACTTGAGGCTCGTCTTATTGAAAATGCTGGGTTATCAGTACGAGACAGCTCACAGCAATGTTATTTAGATTTTTGATACAATAACAACATTTCAGTTTTGCATTGCAGTGGCAGTTTTTTAAAACTTCTACGGTTTTGATTAAACAAATATTGGGCTCCCAAACTATTACAACACATGTGACTTTTAGGTAGGTAAGTTAATGAGAATAAAGTTACATACCCCTTTTTAGCCCTTAAGGTGTTCAGGCCTTGATTTTAAAGATCTTGGTTTTATGCTTACAGCAGTCTTGTCAAAGTCAAATGCACATTATCTGTATCTGCGATTAAATTGAAAATATAATTTGGTTCGTAATGAAATGTAACCTAAACTTGCATTAGCCTAAGCTTTCCAAGTAAATTTATGAAGCCTTAGAAAAATTAAATGATCTTAAATTGAAGATTTAAATTGCTCCCCCCACCTCTCTTCCACCCCAGAAAACAATTGCACAGGGAGTGAAACTCTTGAGGTAGCTGTGATGTCAGCAGCTCAAACTCATTAGTACAAACAGCTTGCATTAGTTTCCTTGACACTTTCAGACACCCTTCCCTGAGGAGGTTTCAGGCCAATAGTTTTCACTCAGGAGAAGTACTTGGTTTTAAGCCATGCGAAGCAACAGCCAAAACTTATGCAGTGTTTCTGCAGCTCGTTTGCACTTTTACTTCTAAATTTCCAAATTTTATTCTTTAAACATGAAAGTGCTGTTAGAAATGGAATATATGAAACACAAGTTTGTCAGTAGGAGGTTGGGCTTGCTTTTTATGTTAAAATGCAGTAAATAAATAATTAGAATAAAGTACTTTGTGAATGTATATCCGAGACTTCTGATTGTTCACCCCCCAAAATCTAAACAATCAGCTGCTTTGCATTATGCATGCAAGTCCTTTTTGCTGAATGTTTGAGAGGCTGCCAAGTAGTACTTTTAAAAAATATGATACAATCCTTTAGAATTGAAGATGACTGCTATACTTTTCTTGACAAGGAGATTTAAGGTCTTGCATTAACAGTATTGGGATCCTTGCTGACAGCTGTGATGAAACCTGTCAAGCAGTCTTATCAGTTTTGTTTCTTCCCAAATGCTGAATCTTTCTTTTGGCTAGAAATCTTTCTGGAAAAATATCTGCTGTAGTCAAGAGAGAGGAAGAATACAGAGAAAGGTGTGATCAAGTAGGCTAAAGTAGTACAGATTGTTCGTAATTTTACACAAGCTGTCATTTTATACTTAAAAATGTATGTGCTAGTCGTCATTGACCTGCATACCTTCATTTGTATGAATGTCACACACACAAAGTTGCAAATATTTGACTTGGAGTATAGCTGAATCTTGCAGGTGCATAGAGCTTGCAGGAATTTTGCTGGTGCTATGGCTGGCTAATGTTGTAGACAATAAAAACCTGCTCCAAGTCCTACAGTTAGGCACAGGCAGTGCTTATTTAAGCCTGTTCAGTGGTTCAGTGCTCATGTGGTGAGATGGGTGCTGTAGCACAGATATAGTTTAACAAGAGTTGTGTCTGAAGTCAAATAACATGAGGTACCAAGTGTAAATTTTAGTGATTGACAAAGACGGCAAATTACTTGTTAAAATAAGCATAGATATTGCACACTTACTGT